CTCTTTGGTCCCTTGGGACGAGGTTCTTCGTGAGCCGCGACACTTGGGGCAGACTGACTGGTCCCTTGGGACGAGGTTCTCCGTGAGCCGCGACACTTGGGGCAGACTGAAAGTTCCCTTGGGACGAGGTTCTTCGTGAGCCGCGACACTTGGGGCAGACTTAAAGGTCCCTTGGGACGAGGTTCTTCGTGAGCCGCAACACTTGGGGCAGACTGACGGGTCCCTTGGGACAAGGTTCTTTGCGAGAAGCATTATTTTGTGCAGACTTACTTAATGATCTTCATGTGATCTAGTTCTCATTTTAACCAAAATAATTTAAGATATGTCAATATACATACAACTGAACAAAATGAACTGTCATGGCTTCCTCCTGCATAACACTAACATCAACACCTGACCAAATAATATTAACAACAGCAAGTTGGAACAATTGACAGTATCTATTATCACTATAGTTTTAAATAAGGGTCATGCTATCATGTAAACAACTTATCAACCTAAATAACTAAGTAAATAGAGATCATGTTAATAACATAATTTTCCAAGTGTGTTTAGTAAAGGTATTGAATGCCATATTTTAATTTTCCATTGAAATATGAGGTCATGTAATTAGATTAGTTCATGTACATTTCATTAGTGTCTATTTAAACTTATAATACTATATCTACGTTATGATAGTCATGGTTATTAAGAAAAGTAAGAGATTGAGGCAGTGGCATCTTGGTTTTTGCCATTGTCCCTTGTTGTTAAAAGTAAGTTACACGTGACTCTTGTGGATGGCATACTTCCCTTTACTTTTTATCTCGTTTCAAGAACCACTACCAGGTACATCTGGAATGATTTTTGCACAAGCAGGTGAGAAGCATATATCTAATAAGTAAAATACTCAGTATTTTACCAACCAGTAAGGATACTGATATTAATGTTGGTAAAAGTGGCCATCTCTGATGATAGTTGATCCACTGGCATCCTACTGCATTTTAGAGGATAACATGGCATAAGGATATCATTAGAGCTACAAAAGAATTTAATCAGAAGGTTGAACAAAACGAGCAGACTCTATTAGAAGATATTGAAAGAACACAGAAATGTATATTCTTGTCCTAGAGACCATGGATTATGGAAATTTCCTACTGACCCTTTTAGCTAAGGCCCCTACTTAACCTGGCAATCTATAAAGCATTTCCCTCCAAACTGGGACAATATAATTATCAGAGAAATATATATTAATTGTAAGTAAACAGCAAGAAAAAGAAAATTACTGGTCAACCTACAATTTCTAAAATTATAATTTTTTCCCCAGAAGAAGGACAAGAAATAGAGGAAAGTTGTTTAGACATCGACAAGGAGGAGAAGAAAGTAGAAGAAGAGAAAAAGGAGCAAAAGAAGGAAGAGGAAGAGAGGGAACACAAAGAAGAAGAGAAAAAGAGGGAACATGTTAAACATGAAAGGAAAAGGAAAAAGAAGGACAGGAGAACAACCTCAAAAAGAAAAAAGCCAATGGTGGAA